GTTTGTTATTTCATTCTTGGAATGTTGATGCTGACCTTCAAAAGTCCTGAAATTTATGATACATTTAAAATTATTATTTAGCAGTTTTGTCAGATGGACCAGCACTAAATGGTCACTAAAATGAATACTTACATCTCTTTTATAATGCAAATTTTTAAAAATTGTGTTACACACTAATCATTGATAGATTATACAAATTCAAAATATCAATCAAGGGACTGTACACTGCCTTAAATAATCAGCTTCTTTAGATTTTAATTTTAACATTGTGATTAATAGTAATTCAAAAGATTTTATTTGTGCAAGTTTTCTCACAGAGTATAAAATCTATGAACTTTTTAAAAATATTTAGGTACCTTGTACATATTTAATGTATAATAAATATATAACTTTTAGAGATAAACCATGTGCTTTAATAGACTTGTGTCTTTATTTTCAGCATCCTAATTTGGATTCTTATTATTTGTTGATTTTACTATTGAATTTTTTCTCTAAGTATTAATATCAGGGAGAATGAAAGAACATAATCTTGTCCGGACTTAAAGTATGTGGTCAAAGTCAATATGGTATTATAAGTAAAAGAAATCAAACTGATAGCTAAGAATTGCCACGTGATCAGGAATGCTATAATTAAAAGTTCAGAGTTTCTATTCATTGATTTACCCAATAAATATTTATTGGCCACTAGGATGTGGAGAGAGCTGGCTCTTACCTGTACGAAGCTTAGATCCTGTCAGGGAACACAGACATGTTTTTTAAAAAAATAAATAAGGCAACCACAGATGGCAATATGTGCTTTGAAGAGAATAAAGTAAGGTGATGTGCTCGAGAGAGACTGGGGAAAGTAAGTCTCAAGGGCCTTATTTAGCATGAGGGGTCAAGAGAATCCTTCCTGTGTGGCCGATACGGTGCTGAGACAAATAACGAACAGGTACCATATGCAAAGACATGAGGCCAGATTATTCTAGCTCAGTTAATCCCAGTTCTTGCTATGGAAAAAAATAAGCAAGATATTTCAGAATGACCAGAGTGATGAGGAGAAGGCTGATACAAGACGAGGTCAGGGAGACAGGCAACAGCTAGGCCAAATGTGGCATTTAGACCCTGAGATGTTTGGATGATGTTCTGATGTGTGGGAAGCCATTGGAAGATGTAAAGCAGAGAGCGACATCCTTTGATTTATGTTTTACAAAAAAATTCCTGGCTGTAGAGCTGGGTACATATTGGAGCTTTGCTGTCACTTCCAGTTCTGTGCTACCTAACTTCTGCGAGCCTCAGTGGCTTTAACTCCAGTGGAGGACTAGGTTCATAAGAAAGAGCAATAAGACAGCACGTAACACAGTGCTTGGCAACTTGTAATGACTCAATTAATGCGACATCTCTTCTTCACCCTTTCTTTTGAATGTAAAATGTCAAAATTACTAAGCACAGAATTCCAACTTATCACTGCTGCTGTTTATTCATTTTCATTTTTAGATTAATTAAATCTGTCTTTGAACAAAATGAAGTAAAAGAAAACAAGATATAAGATAGTTACCTGTTTTATAGGAGAGACCACTTAAGTATTTAATCGATATTAGCAAAATAATTACAATTATTGAGACTTAAGGATGTTCCAGATTTTATTCTAAACTTCTCATGTGTAGTAACTGAAATAATTTTACAACAAAGCTGTGGATTAATTCTGTTAGCCCATTTTACAGATGAAGAAAGTGTGGGCCAGAGAGATTGCATAACTTGCCTAAGTCACAGTGACAGAGGTAGGATTTTTACACAAGTGTTCTTTCTCTAAAGCTAATACCTTTTTTTAAAAGATTAAGGGAAGTTTATTTTATTTATTTATTTACTTGCTTACTTACTGAAGTAAAGTCAGTTATAACGTGTCAAATTCTGGTGTACAACATGTTTCAGTAATACATATACATATATATATTTATTTTCATAGTATTTTTCCTTATAGTTTACTACCAGATATTGAATACAGGTCCCTGTGCTATACAGAGAAATTTGTTTTTTATCAGTTTTATATGTAGTAGTTAATATTTGCAAATCTCGAACTCTAAATTTGTCCCTTCCCACCCTCTTTCCCTCTGGTAGCCTTAAGTTTGGTTGCTATGTCTGTGAGTCTGTGTTTAAAGCTAATATCTTACCAACATTCAGAGTTTAGAGAATTAGAAAAACTAAAATTTTGAGATTTAATATAGTTAATATATATTCTCAATTTACAGGTTAATTGATGCATACATAAAATGAAAATTCAGTTGGCCATTAGTATCATTATTTTATGAACTAAGTAGCTTAGGCTTTTAAATACACCTATTAAAGATAACAAAATAAAAGTCTGCTTAGTGGAAAAGCGAACAATCTTTTTGCCAATTTCAGACTCAGACCTTACCTTTTAAAAAGCAATTTAAAATGATTTAAAAGTTATTTTATAAGTATCTCATTGAGTTTCTCTTTCTACATTAGTTTCTTCCCTAACTCTGACCTAAATATAACCTCAAAGATCATGTGAAAAATAAACAAAATCAATTAAAAAGTGAAAAACATGTAGAGAGAAATTCCCTTTCATTGAAATAAGCTTTTCCCCCCTTCTTCCTGTGATAGATAGGGACTCAATTTTAGTCATAAAATGAAAATTGGCACTTTAAATGTACTTTAGCAGCTATTGTCACAAAAATAAAAACAGAAAACCTCTAGCCCAGAGGAGTAGCGGAAAGTTTTTCAAATTAAGGTTTAATTGTGATCTTTATTTCCTAAAACTTTAAAGA